TGAAGGCGGCTGCAATTTATGGTCTGGAGGATGGTACCTGTTGGGCGCAGAGCGCTGCAATGCCTGCGGTAAGATCAGATCATCGTATAGCTCTGGTTTTTATCTCTGCTGACGCGTGAACTAACTCACTCACCCCCCCAATTATCAGGTGACTAAAACGCAGTTCAACGCTATTGTGGACGCGTTCGACAACCCACAGACGCCGCTTGCGTCAAATGGTCTATTCCTGGGTACAGAGAAGTTCATGATGGTGGCAGGTGATCCTGGCAATGTCGTTCGTGGCAGAAACGGCGAAGACAAGGCAAAGGTACTAATTCGTTCTTTCGCGTCCCTATCGCCGTCGCAGCTTTCATTGTTTACTTTTTCTCTGAATCGGAGGCCTTCACTTCGTTGGTATGATTGCAGGGCCGTAAAGCCGGTGGTTGCTGCATCAAGAAAACTGGCACTGCGTTGGTCTTCGGCATTTTCGAAGAGCCTGCAACGGCAGGTGACACGAATGTGGTTGTTGAGAACATGGGCGATTACCTCAACGGCCAGGGTTACTAGCCGGCTGTCGGAGTCAAAAAGTGGGTTCGTGTGGATGCTGGGAACTTCCTGAAGCCATCACGAGATATCCCACATAGTGAAAGCGTCGTTGCTGTTATGCTACTTGGCACTGAGCATTGAATCTTGTAAGCTAGGCATTCATTACGGATTGTTCCGTTTAGATGTTGGAATGATGCATACTCCCCGTTTAGTTAGCTTCTTCAGCTAAGAAGCAATGCCGTCTGGGATGTCAGGGGAGTAAGCTGAAAGCAGTCCCAAGTGCGGAGCATGCCACAGGGTGAACAAACTGTTGCTGGTGGTTCCTCCTGGACATAGTACAATAGAGTGAGCAAGGCTACATGCAAACCATCGTCGCTAGGTTACAGTCAAAAGTAAGACACAATCCTCAAACATTGTCTATGAATTGAGAGCTTTGAAAAGATTCTATTCACCTTCTAGAAACCCGGGGTCAGCATGGTGAATTATCAAGTTATGTGTGTTTGAAATAGGCTGTATGCGAGATCTGCGAAGCCTGTTTCGGTTGGCTGCCCTTGGCGAGAACTATTTTCCGCCGCAAACAAGTGAACATTTCGCACTCACCAATCCTGCGAATCCCACCAACCCAAAGCGACAAATGTGTCGCACACATCCTCTCTCACATGGAAAGTGTTGCTCACCCGAAGTCACCTCACCAGTGAATCAGCTCGATGCTAACGGGAAATATAAAAACTGAGCAAGTAAAGCACGTGCAGCTTATCAACGCCACCTACTCATCGCCACAACAGAGACGTGTTCGACACGATCCTTACACCACATTACTTGGGTAACGACCATCGCAGGAGCTGGCAACAGCAAAGTGTAGGAACGTGCAAGCGCGATTGCACTAACGGGAAGAAGGTCGTGATTATAGCTTGGAGACTACGGGTAGCTAGGCACAACAAGAAACGACGAGTGTATTGGAGTCGTTGTGACTAGCCAGGGGGAAGAAAGCGGACTAGATTCGGCTCGCGCATCTTGCGCCGAGCAGCACTCGCTCGCCACATTTAGCTGCTCGCGTTCTGTGCGACGCGGAGCCCGCATTCCTCGCGACGCGGAGCCCGCATTCCTCGCGACGCGGATCTCGCATTTCAGGCGGATCTGATCCCGCCATCCAGTCGACGCGGAGCCCGCGTTCCAGGCGACGCGGAGCCCGCGTTCCCGGCGACGAGAAGCGCGCCCTCCCATGTGACCTGGCTACAACCACCGCGCGCACAACGTGAGCGGATACTGCGGGGAGCAAGGTGCAGCACACGCCCCTGCGGATCGCTACAGAGGATAGCCCAAGTGAGTGCCCATTTTTCTGCTACTGCTGCCTTGGGCTTGCTTTCACCACTGTAAACCCACCTGTTCAGTCCCAAGGCAGCAGCATCTCTGGATGCTGCTGCCTTGGGCCTGGTTTCAGCACCATGCACCCACCCGTTCAGTCCCCAGGCAGCAACAACCAGAGTTGCTGCTGCCTTGGGCTTGCTTTCACCAATGTAAACCCATCTGTTCAGTCCCAAGGCAGCAGCAGCTTTGGATGCCGCTGCCTTGGGCTTGCTTTCACCATTTAGCACCCACCTACTCTGTCCCAAGGCAGCAGCAGCTTTGGATACTGCTGCCTTGGGCATGCTTTCACCATTTTAAACCCACCTGTTCAGTCCCAAGGCAGCAGCATCTCTGGATGCTGCTGCCTTGGCCCTGGTTTCAGCACCATGCCTCCACTTGTTCAGTCCCCAGGCAGCAACAACCAGAGTTGCTGCTGCCTTGGGCTTGCTTTCACCACTGTAAACCCACCTGTTAAGTCCCAAGGCAGCAGCAGCTTTGGATGCTGGTTTCAGCACCATGCCTCCACCTGTTCAGTCCCCAGGCAACAACAACCAGAGTTGGTGCTGCCTTGGGCTTGCTTTCACCGCTGTAAACCCACCTGTTCTATCCCAACGCAGCAGCATCTCTGGATGCTGCCGCCTTGGGCCTGGTTTCAGCACCAAGCACCCACCCGTTCAGTCCCCAGGCAGCAACAACAAGAGTTGCTGCTGCCTTGGGCTTGCTTTCACCACTGTAAACCCACGTGTTCAGTCCCAAGGCAGCAGCAGCTTTGGATGCTGCTGCCTTGGGCTTGCTTTCACCATTGTAAACCCACCTGTTCAGTCCCAAGGCAGCAGCATCTCTGGATGCTGCTGCCTTGGGCCTGGTTTCAGGACCATGCCTCCACCTGTTCAGTCCCCAGGCAGCAGCCACCAGAGTTGCTGGTGCTTTGGGCCCTTTCTCTATTGCGTGCACTCACCGCTCGGTGCTGCATGACGTGCATTTGCACATTTCTGCAGACATCTATAGATGCCCTAATCCTTGTCCCTGCTGTGCCAACGCCCTAACCACCCATCTCCTTCCTCTCCTCGGGGTATGCCCTGACATGGTTTCGGATGGCAGGGGTTGGTGTAGGTGCGGGAGGGCATCCTGCAATACAAGCATGTAAGGATGCCCAGAGAGGAACGGTCAACATTTCAGTCCACATGCGGCCACTTTTGTGTGTTCTCCGCGTCGGGCTCTCGGCATTGTTCCTTGGGGACACGATGGCGACGACAGATGATGTGATTCACTTTTTGGTTGAGTCAGCACCCCAAGCGACCAACCGACTTATTGAGGCGGGCCTAGCAGCAGGTATGACACAAGGTTTGGGCGAGCATGTGATGTGTTCATGATCTGAAGTGCTGGTTGTCTTTCTATCGAATGTCCTACACCCGTGAAATGTATCGCATGCCTGAACATTCTCTGCCTGCACATTCTCTGCCTAACAGATCCTGCTTCAAACGACACTCATACTGGCGTAATTGTGGAAAGACATCGAAAAGAGTACGGCCGCATCTTGAAAGAACGAGCGAAAGGAACTATGGAGGATGTAGTAGCCTTGCATCAACGGCCCAATCGAGTGCTGGCCGGTCTTAGATACTCCTTCCCACTGGTGCAGTATGATGCGCGCAAAAGACTGCGACAGGTTTCCGGTCGATCATGGGGAGGCGCCAGGCATGGCGCGGCATTTGCAGCGACGTGTAATTCAGGTAAGATTTGGAAGATGCATCTGAAGTTGGCTTGTTTTGGACGTGAGTAATAAACGACGTCCCGTCCACACTCCCTATACGTTTCAGGGGCCAACCATGGAGGGAGTGGCAACGTCATGGGGACCGAACTGCCAGATGCGTCAGCCGTAGGCACTGTGGGCATGGATGCTAATGAGGGCGTTTCCGGAGTGCCCAGAGATACTGCGGTGGCCGCGCCTGCACGAAGTGTGACGACGACTCCAGAACGGCCAGTGCAAGGGTGAGAGTAGTGGTTGCGGTGGCTACATATGGCAAAATGTCATTGTGCACTATCAAACACGTCGTTGTATCCATGTCCAAACTCCCCTCCTGTTTGTGTCCACTAGGCCTGCCAACAGCCACCGACGAGCAGTTGCGCGTGGGAGTGTCCCTAGGCACTGGCCTTCTGCTCCGAGCGTTGATGACATCGACGGACAACGGGTATGTCTTGTCGAGCCTCGACAGTTGGTTGGGTTCTTCCAAGGGTGTCGATTGGTGTGTTCACATGAACAAGCGTGTAGTGAGGGGATGACATTGAGGTCATGGAAGTTCTCATGGGCATCGGTCGGCATGTTTTGGAGATGCGACGCGTGTTCGCATGGTGTAGAGTTTTGGTCATGTCCGAGCCGGCGTATCGAGAGAGCACGAACCGATGTAGGCGCGCATTCTCCGATGCTACAGTCTAAATTTGTCGGGGCATTTGCTTTAGCCGGAATGGGGTATCAGCAAATGTGGGAGTTTTGTCGCAACGTCGGCTTGCCAGCGCCAGGGAAGGGCACATTTTACAAGTACCTTGGTGATGATAATGGGTTATGGAATGCTATATTGAGAGAGGCTGATAAGACTATGGCTGCGGTACGAGAAGAGATGATGAAGCGAGAAATCTCTACAGAATATGTAGTGGTCGATGGTCGATGGTCACATGTCCGTGAGGGAGAGTGGTGTACAGTATCGTTCTTAGGTTTGCCGTCCAGAAAGATAGTGTACTGTGCGACGACACGAAAAGGGGTGGACAACACTTCGTCGGTGCGACTGGAAAGGGTGGCTTTCGATAAAGGGTTAGATGAACTGGCGCAGAAAGGGTTTACGGTGGAAGGGATCATCTCCGACCAAGGGACTACTTTTCGTGGGGCAGCGTCCGAAAGAGGGTTGAACCACCAGGTGGACTGGTGGCATGTGAAGCGGACGCTTTACAAGTTATTTCTGAAAGAACTTCAGGATGCGGTCCGTGCACCAGTGGCTGTGGACAAGGCGACCTGTATTGAGGATCTATGGCTTGCGACGATCGATGGGCTACGGCAATGGCTGACAGCACGGGGGTTGGAGAAAGAGTCGAAAGCTTCACTGAAAGGGGACTTGGTGGAATCCGTTTGTAAAGCCATGGGCACGATTGTTTACCGGAAGATGACCCTGAAAGAGGCGAAATGGAAGTTTCCCGAGCTAAGAAAGGTGGTGCGGATGGGGGGGGGGTGTAGCCCGGTGGAGGTGCCTGTGACCTACGGCGAGGTGCCTGGTGCTTCTGATGCCGATGTGCGGGAGCGGGATGAGGGAGCTGAGCGGGCTACCGTGGACAGGCCGACACCGGAGGAGTGGAATGTTGACGTTCAATGGGAAGACGTGGAAGAGCTATGGAGTTATGATGTGCACCCGACGCTAGGTGCGCGACCGACATCTTTGGCGAGCACCCTCATCATGCTTGGGCACGCTAGCGCAAACGAAAAGTCCCATTTCATCGGTGGATCCACTTCTTGGGCCAACACCGACACGGAGACTGGTATGCATACACCGCTTACCAAGTTTTGGGCATGCATGATCCAAGTGCTACTCTATACTCAGTTTTCGTATTTCGTTTTCTAACATTCACAGATGCGCTAGATGGAGTCGGGGCTGATACCGAAGTGCAGAACCCTAATGCGTTCAGCGAGCCCGAGACACTACCTCGGTGGACTGGTCGCCGAAAGCGGAAACGAGGTGAAGATCATATCGATTCTGGCAAGGAGGAACAAACAGTGGCACAACGCTTATTCCACTCATTTCTAATCACGTGATGGTGCGATGTGGTGCGAAGAAGAAAGAGGGGCATCCTATGACCCCGACCGACGTGGCGAGGGAGCTTGGAGCCCACCCAACACTGGGCCGGTTGACCACTCCGGCTTGTACTGGGGTAGGAGATACCCCCCTTCGCTGCGTCAGAGAGGGGTGGGGCAAGGACCAATGCCATAGTATGAGTTTGGGTCGTCGGACACACAAGGCGGTTTGTGCATGGTTCTCCCAAGCACTTAAGCTCTGAGAAGGTAAAGTACTTTGTGCATGGCGCGTCCAGTTCTCTGAACGAGTCTTTCATTCTTTGATCATCAAATATGCACCTAAGCGGATACGGTTTTCAGGGCAGCTTCCCGGCACGAGTCGGTCTCGCGGTTCTTCATTGGAATCACGGCATGGATCGCCTGGTGACCGCCTATCGCACTAAGAGTCCGACAGGTAACGAGGATCAGGCGCGGATCCAAGGAGCGCATCTTGACTAAAATGGATTGGGCTTGGGTTGATGGCATCATGGAGGAATGGCAACAAACACTGCGGCATGGAGATAATGTGGATGTTGACAAGATGCCTGAATCAACAGCAACGACTGCGCAGCTGGTCGATGCATCGGTCGCACAGCCCATAGCATCTGTTCTTGAGCCAGTGACACCAGTGCGCCAAGGCGGGTTCGGTCCGGTGTGCGGCACGTCTCGTGGATCTGCTCGCCGTCGTTTGGGTAAGCAACGGCAGCGCAACGTGAGTTGTGATAGCTCAGTATGGCTCATACTCGACGTAAACATTCTAGCCAGCGTAATGTGTTCACCATCCACGTCTTCCAACCCATCTGTATGTTGCTTATAGGTGATGTGTCGAACCTCCCACGCTAAGTGCCCAAGGCGAATATCAGGCGAGCTTTCAAACCCGCGCGAGGCTTGCTCGGCATCACGCAGAACCACCACAACGCCCACCACGACAGTCGACCCCCCAAAGGTATTTGACAAACACCCATCGCCCACCATGCTATAACTTGGCCTGCTCAGATCTCCCATTCCCTACCATGCCCTGCCCTGCCATGCCCTGTCATGCCCTACCCTGCCCTGCCCTCCCCTGCCCTGCCCTGTCATGCCTTGACCTGCCCTGCCCTGCCCTGCCATGCCTTGTCATGCCCTACCCTGCCCTGCCCTCCCCTGCCCTGCCCTGTCATGCCCTGACCTGCCCTGCCCTGCCCTGCCATGTCCTGCCCTGCAATGCCCTGTCCCGCCCCGCCCCGCCCTTGTCAGCACCCTCATTTTTCTGCGATGCCATGACTATAGGGGCCATGCCTGCCCTGCTTTCTCATGGCCCGCCCTGCCCTTGTCTGCACCATCCGCGTCATGCCATGCCTCTCCCATGCCATGCCATGCCTCTCCCATGCCATGCCATGCCCTGCCCTGCCCTCCCCTGTCATGCTCCGCTCCGCCCTTCTCCCTCCCCCCTCCAGGCATGCCCTGCCCTGCTTTCACCATTTAGCACCCACCTTGTCTGTCGCCATGCCATGCATGCCATGCCATGCCTCTCCCATGCCATGCCATGCCCTGCCCTGCCCTCCACTGTCATGCTCCGCTCCGCCCTTCTCCCTCCCCCCTCCAGGCATGCCCTGCCATGCTCTGCGATTGAGATTATTCATAGCTACAGGGACACCACTCTAAATTCTGGCTTATCCTCCATCTCATTGGCTATAGCTGCAGGTTACCACTGTGAGAGGGATAAGGCGGAATTGCCATCGGATCAAGTGGATGATGTGGCAGACGCAGTGAACAAAGATGCGGAGGAGTGGAGCGACGATAGTGATGAGTGGTGGCTAGCAGGCCACTATGGGAGGAAGTGGAGCAGATTTGGATGCTGGTTTCAGCACCATGCCTCCACCTGTTCAGTCCCCAAGGCAACAACAACCAGAGTTGGTGCTGCCTTGGGCTTGCTTTCACCGCTGTAAACCCACCTGTTCTATCCCAACGCAGCAGCATCTCTGGATGCTGCCGCCTGGCCCTGGTTTCAGCACCAAGCAACCCACCCGTTCAGGTCCCCAGGCAGCAACAACAAGAGTTGCTGCTGCCTTGGGCTTGCTTTCACCACTGTAAACCCACGTGTTCAGTCCCAAGGCAGCAGCAGCTTGTGGATGCTGCTGCCTTGGGCTTGCTTTCACCATTGTAAACCCACCTGTTCAGTCCCAAGGCAGCAGCATCTCTGGATGCTGCTGCCTTGGGCCTGGTTTCAGGACCATGCCTCCACCTGTTCAGTCCCCAGGCAGCAGCCACCAGAGTTGCTGGTGCTTTGGGCCCTTTCTCTATTGCGTGCACTCACCGCTCGGTGCTGCATGACGTGCATTTGCACATTTCTGCAGACATCTATAGATGCCCTAATCCTTGTCCCTGCTGTGCCAACGCCCTAACCACCCATCTCCTTCCTCTCCTCGGGGTATGCCCTGACATGGTTTCGGATGGCAGGGGTTGGTGTAGGTGCGGGAGGGCATCCTGCAATACAAGCATGTAAGGATGCCCAGAGAGGAACGGTCAACATTTCAGTCCACATGCGGCCACTTTTGTGTGTTCTCCGCGTCGGGCTCTCGGCATTGTTCCTTGGGGACACGATGGCGACGACAGATGATGTGATTCACTTTTTGGTTGAGTCAGCACCCCAAGCGACCAACCGACTTATTGAGGCGGGCCTAGCAGCAGGTATGACACAAGGTTTGGGCGAGCATGTGATGTGTTCATGATCTGAAGTGCTGGTTGTCTTTCTATCGAATGTCCTACACCCGTGAAATGTATCGCATGCCTGAACATTCTCTGCCTGCACATTCTCTGCCTAACAGATCCTGCTTCAAACGACACTCATACTGGCGTAATTGTGGAAAGACATCGAAAAGAGTACGGCCGCATCTTGAAAGAACGAGCGAAAGGAACTATGGAGGATGTAGTAGCCTTGCATCAACGGCCCAATCGAGTGCTGGCCGGTCTTAGATACTCCTTCCCACTGGTGCAGTATGATGCGCGCAAAAGACTGCGACAGGTTTCCGGTCGATCATGGGGAGGCGCCAGGCATGGCGCGGCATTTGCAGCGACGTGTAATTCAGGTAAGATTTGGAAGATGCATCTGAAGTTGGCTTGTTTTGGACGTGAGTAATAAACGACGTCCCGTCCACACTCCCTATACGTTTCAGGGGCCAACCATGGAGGGAGTGGCAACGTCATGGGGACCGAACTGCCAGATGCGTCAGCCGTAGGCACTGTGGGCATGGATGCTAATGAGGGCGTTTCCGGAGTGCCCAGAGATACTGCGGTGGCCGCGCCTGCACGAAGTGTGACGACGACTCCAGAACGGCCAGTGCAAGGGTGAGAGTAGTGGTTGCGGTGGCTACATATGGCAAAATGTCATTGTGCACTATCAAACACGTCGTTGTATCCATGTCCAAACTCCCCTCCTGTTTGTGTCCACTAGGCCTGCCAACAGCCACCGACGAGCAGTTGCGCGTGGGAGTGTCCCTAGGCACTGGCCTTCTGCTCCGAGCGTTGATGACATCGACGGACAACGGGTATGTCTTGTCGAGCCTCGACAGTTGGTTGGGTTCTTCCAAGGGTGTCGATTGGTGTGTTCACATGAACAAGCGTGTAGTGAGGGGATGACATTGAGGTCATGGAAGTTCTCATGGGCATCGGTCGGCATGTTTTGGAGATGCGACGCGTGTTCGCATGGTGTAGAGTTTTGGTCATGTCCGAGCCGGCGTATCGAGAGAGCACGAACCGATGTAGGCGCGCATTCTCCGATGCTACAGTCTAAATTTGTCGGGGCATTTGCTTTAGCCGGAATGGGGTATCAGCAAATGTGGGAGTTTTGTCGCAACGTCGGCTTGCCAGCGCCAGGGAAGGGCACATTTTACAAGTACCTTGGTGATGATAATGGGTTATGGAATGCTATATTGAGAGAGGCTGATAAGACTATGGCTGCGGTACGAGAAGAGATGATGAAGCGAGAAATCTCTACAGAATATGTAGTGGTCGATGGTCGATGGTCACATGTCCGTGAGGGAGAGTGGTGTACAGTATCGTTCTTAGGTTTGCCGTCCAGAAAGATAGTGTACTGTGCGACGACACGAAAAGGGGTGGACAACACTTCGTCGGTGCGACTGGAAAGGGTGGCTTTCGATAAAGGGTTAGATGAACTGGCGCAGAAAGGGTTTACGGTGGAAGGGATCATCTCCGACCAAGGGACTACTTTTCGTGGGGCAGCGTCCGAAAGAGGGTTGAACCACCAGGTGGACTGGTGGCATGTGAAGCGGACGCTTTACAAGTTATTTCTGAAAGAACTTCAGGATGCGGTCCGTGCACCAGTGGCTGTGGACAAGGCGACCTGTATTGAGGATCTATGGCTTGCGACGATCGATGGGCTACGGCAATGGCTGACAGCACGGGGGTTGGAGAAAGAGTCGAAAGCTTCACTGAAAGGGGACTTGGTGGAATCCGTTTGTAAAGCCATGGGCACGATTGTTTACCGGAAGATGACCCTGAAAGAGGCGAAATGGAAGTTTCCCGAGCTAAGAAAGGTGGTGCGGATGGGGGGGGGGTGTAGCCCGGTGGAGGTGCCTGTGACCTACGGCGAGGTGCCTGGTGCTTCTGATGCCGATGTGCGGGAGCGGGATGAGGGAGCTGAGCGGGCTACCGTGGACAGGCCGACACCGGAGGAGTGGAATGTTGACGTTCAATGGGAAGACGTGGAAGAGCTATGGAGTTATGATGTGCACCCGACGCTAGGTGCGCGACCGACATCTTTGGCGAGCACCCTCATCATGCTTGGGCACGCTAGCGCAAACGAAAAGTCCCATTTCATCGGTGGATCCACTTCTTGGGCCAACACCGACACGGAGACTGGTATGCATACACCGCTTACCAAGTTTTGGGCATGCATGATCCAAGTGCTACTCTATACTCAGTTTTCGTATTTCGTTTTCTAACATTCACAGATGCGCTAGATGGAGTCGGGGCTGATACCGAAGTGCAGAACCCTAATGCGTTCAGCGAGCCCGAGACACTACCTCGGTGGACTGGTCGCCGAAAGCGGAAACGAGGTGAAGATCATATCGATTCTGGCAAGGAGGAACAAACAGTGGCACAACGCTTATCCACTCATTTCTATCACGTGATGGTGCGATGTGGTGCGAAGAAGAAAGAGGGGCATCCTATGACCCCGACCGACGTGGCGAGGGAGCTTGGGAGCCCACCCAACCACTGGGCCGGTGACCACTCCGGCTGTACTGGGGTAGGAGAGACCCCACCTCGCTGCGTCAGAGAGGGGTGGGGCAAGGACCATGCCATATATGAGTTTGGGTCGTCGACACACAAGGCGGTTTGTGCATGGTTCTCCAAGCACTTAAGCTCTGAGAAGGTAAAGTCCTTTGTGCATGGCGCGTCCAGTTCTCTGAACGAGTCTTTCCATTCTTTGATCATCAAATATGCACCTAAGCGGATACGGTTTCAGGGCAGCTTCCCGGCACGAGTCGGTCTCGCGGTTCTTCATTGGAATCACGGCATGGATCGCCTGGTGACCGCCTATCGCACTAGAGTCCGACAGGTAACGAGGATCAGGCGCGGATCCAAGGAGCGCATCTTGACTAAAATGGATTGGGCTTGGGTTGATGGCATCATGGAGGAATGGCAACAAACACTGCGGCATGGAGATAATGTGGATGTTGACAAGATGCCTGAATCAACAGCAACGACTGCGCAGCTGGTCGATGCATCGGTCGCACAGCCCATAGCATCTGTTCTTGAGCCAGTGACACCAGTGCGCCAAGGCGGGTTCGGTCCGGTGTGCGGCACGTCTCGTGGATCTGCTCGCCGTCGTTTGGGTAAGCAACGGCAGCGCAACGTGAGTTGTGATAGCTCAGTATGGCTCATACTCGACGTAAACATTCTAGCCAGCGTAATGTGTTCACCATCCACGTCTTCCAACCCATCTGTATGTTGCTTATAGGTGATGTGTCGAACCTCCCACGCTAAGTGCCCAAGGCGAATATCAGGCGAGCTTTCAAACCCGCGCGAGGCTTGCTCGGCATCACGCAGAACCACCACAACGCCCACCACGACAGTCGACCCCCCCAAAGGTATTTGACAAACACCCATCGCCCACCATGCTATAACTTGGCCTGCTCAGATCTCCCATTCCCTACCATGCCCTGCCCTGCCATGCCCTGTCATGCCCTACCCTGCCCTGCCCTCCCCTGCCCTGCCCTGTCATGCCTTGACCTGCCCTGCCCTGCCCTGCCATGCCTTGTCATGCCCTACCCTGCCCTGCCCTCCCCTGCCCTGCCCTGTCATGCCCTGACCTGCCCTGCCCTGCCCTGCCATGTCCTGCCCTGCAATGCCCTGTCCCGCCCCGCCCCGCCCTTGTCAGCACCCTCATTTTTCTGCGATGCCATGACTATAGGGGCCATGCCTGCCCTGCTTTCTCATGGCCCGCCCTGCCCTTGTCTGCACCATCCGCGTCATGCCATGCCTCTCCCATGCCATGCCATGCCTCTCCCATGCCATGCCATGCCCTGCCCTGCCCTCCCCTGTCATGCTCCGCTCCGCCCTTCTCCCTCCCCCCTCCAGGCATGCCCTGCCCTGCTTTCTCATGGCCCGCCCGGCCCTTGTCTGCACCATCCGCGTCATGCCATGCCTCTCCCATGCCATGCCATGCCTCTCCCATGCCATGCCATGCCCTGCCCTGCCCTCCACTGTCATGCTCCGCTCCGCCCTTCTCCCTCCCCCCTCCAGGCATGCCCTGCCATGCTCTGCGATTGAGATTATTCATAGCTACAGGGACACCACTCTAAATTCTGGCTTATCCTCCATCTCATTGGCTATAGCTGCAGGTTACCACTGTGAGAGGGATAAGGCGGAATTGCCATCGGATCAAGTGGATGATGTGGCAGACGCAGTGAACAAAGATGCGGAGGAGTGGAGCGACGATAGTGATGAGTGGTGGCTAGCAGGCCACTATGACGGGGAGGAAGTGGAGGTGTGGGTGGCTGGTCAGGATGAATAAATGGGGTTGTGTTTCCATCCCCACTGTGCTAATTTGGTCTTGAACATGTCATGCTTGCATGTGTGTGGAGGACTATGCCGTTCTGTCCTAAACCTAATCATGCTTCTTTGCGAAATATACTTGCACATATTATAGTTGCAATATACGTGTGGATGAAGTTAGCCCGGTGAAACTACTCCATTGCTTCGATTCTTGAGACCCTTATCCAGCTCATGTTCCATTCTGCTTAGGGCACTAGATTGTTTGGTATCCCAAAAAGGATACATCCATGATATTCTTTCACCATTATCTTACTCCAAAGGTGTCAGTGCCCAGCTCTGTTGGCACTTTAGTGCAAATTATTGCCTAGGTAACCACTTGGCATCCAATGTACACTACTTCAGGATGGCTTATACTTGCATTTCACAAGGACCTCGTTCACAATGCGCAGTGAAGTGAGCCACAGTACTGGAATCGACACACCAGTTAGCCTGCCAACACATGGCAGATGCATGGGTGGGATAGAAGGCGCACGACTTGAGGGCTCAAAATTTTACCGGTAGTAGCTCAGAGTAGGAGCAGACGAACCAGTGGCAGCTATAGGATCTCTGGAAGGACTTGCTGCTGCTCTTGAAGCAGAAAAGCAGGAGTGCAAGGGCTGACAGCAGCGGTGCAAGGGCTGACAGCAGGGGTGCAAGGGCTGACAGCAGGGGTGCAAAGGTGGAAAGCAGGGGTGCAAGGGTGGAAAGCAGGGGTGCAAGGGGGAGAAGCAGGGCTGCAAGGGTGGGAAGCTGGGGTGCAAGGGTGGGAAGCAGGGGTGCAAGGGCGGAAAGCAGGGGTGCAAGCGTGGGAAGCAGTGCATAGGTGGAAAGCGGGACCAGACGAAACAGTGACAATTTGAATTCACATTAGCGGTGGGTATTTCAGGAGTGGGTGATATGAAGGGAGTGGGAAGTTTGGAACAAGGGTGTAGGGATATGAGAGGAGCAGGGAGGTTGTACATGGGGAGGGAGAGGATGGGTGGGGAAGCAGGGAAGGGGATGGGGGGAAGCAGGGAAGGGGATGGGGGGAAGCAGGGAAGGGGATGGGGGGAAGCAGGGAAGGGGATGGGGGGAAGCAGGGTAGGGGATGGGGGAAAGCAGGGAAGGGGATGGAGGGAAGCAGGGAAGGGGATGGGGGAAAAAGGGGGAGGGGACGAGGGGAAGCATGAAGGAGGGAGGGGGGAAGCATGGAGGAGGGAGGGGGGAAGCAGGAAGGAGGGAGGGGGGAAGCAGGAAGGAGGGAGGGGGGAAGCAGGGAGGAGGAAGGGGGGAGTGGCAGGTGAGGCAAAGGAGTATGAGAGGAGTGGGGGGTATGAGAGGAGTGGGGAGTATGAAAGGAGATTGTACATGGGGAGGGAGAGGATGGGGGGGGAAGCAGGGAAGGGGATGGGGGGAAGCAGGGAAGGGGATGGGGGGAAGCAGGGAGGGGGATGGGGGGAAGCAGGGTAGGGGATCGGGGAAAGCAGGGAAGGGGATGGAGGGAAGCAGGGAAGGGGATGGGGGAAAAAGGGGGAGGGGACGAGGGGAAGCAAAAAGGAGGGAGGGGGGAAGCATGGAGGAGGGAGGGGGGAAGCAGGAAGGAGGGAGGGGGGAAGCAGGGAGGAGGAAGGGGGGAGTGGCAGGTGAGGCAAAGGAGTATGAAAGGAGTGGGGGGTATGAGAGGAGTGGGGAGTATGAAAGGAGATTGTACATGGGGAGGGAGAGGATGGGGGGGGAAGCAGGGAAGGGGATGGGGGGAAGCAAGGAAGGGGATGGGGGGAAGCAGGGAGGGGGATGGGGGGAAGCAGGGTAGGGGATGGGGGAAAGCAGGGAAGGGGATGGAGGGAAGCAGGGAAGGGGATGGGGGAAAAAGGGGGAGGGGACGAGGGGAAGCAGGAAGGAGGGAGGGGGGAAGCATGGATGAGGGAGGGGGGAAGCAGGAAGGAGGGAGGGGGGAAGCAAGAAGGAGGGAGGGGGGAAGCAGGGAGGAGGAAGGGGGGAGTGGCAGGTGAGGCAAAGGAGAATAGACTGTGGGGTAAACAGAGGTGGTGGGAGAAAGGGAGGATGGTCAAAATGAAGAGGGGTGTAAACAAGCCTGGGGAAGTGAGGTCGACGAGGAGAGGGAGTGAGGGAAGTACCCGCTCTCACCCTCTGTCCTTCCCCCTCTGTGCCCCTCCCCCTCTTATCCTCCCCCTCCGTCAATCCCCTTCTGTCTCCCCCCCTCTGCCCTTCACCATCTGTCACTCCACCTGTGTCCTTCCCCCTCTATCTCTCCCCCTTTGCCCTTCCCCCTATGTCTCTCCCCCCCTGTCCCCCCCCCTGTACCTCCCCCCTCTGTCTCTCCCCATCTGTCCTCCACCCTCTCCCCCTTGAACTTCCACTTCTGTCCTTCCCCTTCTTTCCTCCCCTCTGTCCCTCCCCCTCTGTCCCTCTCCCTCGTTCCCTCCCCTCTGTCCCTCCCCCTCTGTCCCTGCCCCTCTGTCCCTCCCCCACTATCCCTCCCCTCTCGTCCCTGCACTTTCGTCCCTACCCCTCCTTCACTCCCCCTCTTTCCCTTCCTCTATGTCCCTCCCACTTTGTCTCTCGCCCTCTGACAAGTGGGGGGGATGCTGGTGGTGTGCGGGGGGGAAAGGAGGCGGACCAGTGGGGGGAATGCGCGTGGTGTGAGGGGGGGAAAAGGAGGCGGACAAGTGGGGGGAATGCGCGTGGTGTGAGGGGGGGAAAGGAGGCGGACAAGTGGGGGAAAATGCGCGTAGTGTGTGGGGGGGAAAGGAGGCGGACAAATGGGGAGAATGCGAGTGGTGTGTGGGGGCCTTCGCTAACGACGGGGAGTGGCGACTTGGGTAGACATGGGCGATAAGGGGAGATGCGTGTGGATGGGGGAAACTGAGGCGACAACGGGAGGCGAGGGCGTTGAGGAGCAACGCAAGAGACGAGCGTAAGTGCGGGAGACTCGAGTAAGCGTTTCAGACGCGGGAAAGAGTGCGAGACGCGGGCAGTGATGATGCGGGTAAGCGCGGGTGACCTCGGGTAAGCGCGGGAAACGCGGATAAGCGCGGGTAAGTGGGGATGACACGGGTAAGCGCGGGTGACGAGGGTAAGCGCGGGTGTCGCTGGAGAGCGCGGGAAACGTGGGTAAGCGTGGGAAGCGCGGGTGAGCGTGGGAGACAAGGACAACCTGGCGTGACGAGGGAAACGCTTGCGACGAGTGAAACATTGCGCGACGAGGGACGCGCGGGCGACGAGTGCATGCGCGAGTGCAGAAGCTCTCGTAACGTGGGGTTGAGGGAATCGCAAGGGAAGCACGGGCGATGAGGTGATGCACTCGCCACATACTAAGTGTGGGAGTCTGGACGAGGCGAGGATGACGCCTGAAGGCAGACTGAAGCCAAGTTTTTGTTGGGCGGGCCATGCTATGCTGGCCAATGCGTTACGGGCGTTGTATTGGAGGTAACCAGCAGCCTTTGCCGACCCATGACTGTGGTGCACTAGAACGGGTGTCCCGTCGCTGGCATGCAAAAATGGTACGGTAATAGCGTGTTTGGCTTGAAGCGGGTGCTCCTCAGCTATTGGCAAGACAGCGGGAGTGACGAGAGCTGGAAGGAAAAAAACGCTTCTACCTAAACTAGCTTCTATCGCTGTGCCGCGCGTTTTTTAGTTACGTGCCTACTCTAGTGGATTAGGAGTACCACTTGGTCGTCAAGTTATGTGAGACGTGACCACGGCAACATGGTAGTCGATGTTCGGATGTGTTGTGCGACTGGGCACAGAAACCAATCAGAAGTGACCGTCGCACTAAGTTTTCCCTGGGTCGCGAGAGTTCTTTCAAACAAAAGAGGGTAACCCTGTTATTTACGATTTCAAGTTCAAGAATCTTGAACTTGAAAAATACCATGCTGTACTCGGGCTTTAAGACCATCTCCCGCCCGCCCCTTCACCCCTCCTCCAACCTTCCTTCCCTCTCCCGATCCAGTTCCTCCCCCTTCCGCCCTCCACCCTCTCTTTCCTCTGCAAAAACAGGGGAGGGTGTGGGGATGTTTGGAGAATGATCATGTTTCCCAATGGCTGTTGTGTACCCTGCAGAGGAGACAAAGGAAAAATGGCTTGGTTATCACAGCCCTATGCCACAGATGATCCCTAATTCGTAAGCCTCCGTGTCGGCACCTTAACAGATCACGTGCTATTGTTACCATATATTTGTTATCAATGTTTGATTATAAATGATCTTACATTCATGACCTTTGCATCAATTTTAGCAGTCATAGCTTGCTGGGCTGGGGCGCTTGTCAAATGCAAGTAGAGAGAGTAGCAACATTGTTTTTTTAAGCGTGATAAGCTGAACCAGAAAGAGGGTGTATATATGCCTGCTTCGGGACTCTTCGTGTCAAATTTGATGCATCCCATCCCAGGTCGCAGCTATTTTTCCAGCTGAGTCCGCAGGTCTTGGCGTATATCAGGTCAGGTGTCTCGACCACAGACCTATGTAAGTTTTCCTGCATGGATCTTGTCAAAACTTGTGGCCAAGGGAAGGTTGCGAGGAGCAAAGCCGAGGCTGACTGAACAGCACAGAAGGATGGCCACAACATTGGATTGGGGGGGACGATGGATGCACCGCCATTGCTGTGCTTCGCATCGCACACTGTACGTCTTGTTTGGTCTGCCCTCGTTCCTGCGATGTGTGGGGCATGCCTTCACTGGTTCGGTTCTCTTCCCACCCATGCTCTTACTGTACACGTCGCCTCGTCGGGGACTCGGGGCAATGGGGCGATGGATGCATGAAGTTTTTTCGCCAACCACACTCACCCACTCAGCCGACCAAGACACCTCCCCCGGCTAGGTGAAGCCCCAGGTGGGGAGGAACCGAGGAGGAGACGATTCCTCGCGACTCGTAAATGTGAGACGCCGCGCGGGAGGAGCAATTCCAAATTCCAAAAGCTCCAAGCTATCCTTGCGCGAGTCACCAACTCAAGCCTGTGTCGAGCGCCGCAGCGTAAACTTTTC